TTTGTGTGTCAGGATAACTAGTTTTGGCTTCGGTTGAAATGGATTCAATTGTGATTTAAAATACTCTTCCCAATGCCATCGAGACCGAGTTTATTGTGAAAAAAATTATTTTGCAACCAGTATTCCAATAAACCAATATATAAAATGTTAACGTTGACGCAATGTTGGCTGCCAACGTAGACATAATGTTGGCTACTAACGTTGGGGATATGTTGGCTGCCAATGTTCGGGTAATGCTGGCTGCCAGCATTGATGCAATGTTGGTTGTTGACGTGGGGCCAATGTTGGCTGTCAACGTTGGAGCAATGTCGAATTCGATGAATCATTGAATTCAATTTAAAAAATATCCTCACAGAAATTCCACTCGGAAGCAAATTACTAATTTAATAACAAGTGGTATATTTCCATGGAAAGCTGCAGCCCATCGTTATGGAATTTTTTACTCGTAGCAAGTATAAAAACTATAACGACACAATATCTTTCCATAGTGATCTTCACTTTTACGAGTTTAGGGAAGAGCCAATACCAATCCCCGGACGAGAAAAAGTGAAAAGCAATACGGAAAAATATATTGACTATATTGTGACAAAAGCAATTTACCACTTACTCCATAATACTTCCATAGTACGCGTAAAAAGTGGAATAACATCTGAAATTGTGACTACTAATCAATTTTATCGAGTCAAACTTGTGTATAAAATTTTGTGTCAATCGATTGAGTACATCTTGGCATAGAGCGATTCATCTGACAATCATTTTTTGAAGAAAATGGCACGTCGACATTTAGTCAATGATTTTCAGATCTGGACGACTAGAAAAGTTATATAAAATACAATTATATTCTTGTCTATTTTATTGTATGTCAATGACTGATACAAAAAGTGTGGTCTATTTTAAGGTTCGTAAATCTTCGATGAACTGCTATCAAATATTGATGTGAAATTGTGATTTTTCATTTAAAAAATGGAATTGCTATGGATCCATTTGGGAGCTTACTACCAATGAAATTACTAAAAATGGTGATAGGCACAGTCCACTGCTTGGCTTTTTGTAATTATCAATGTCAAATGAGTTTCGAGGGTTTCACGTCTGTTTAACACAAACCAATTTCAATAAAAAAATTTAACACACCGGAATTCAATACAAAAGAAATTCAATACATAACCAATTCAATAATAAATTAATCAAAAAATAGCAAATGATTTCACACGTTTCTTCATTAAGCATCTTTCAATCTATCAATTTCTTCGAAATTTTTTAACAAAAAAAAAACAAATTCAAACATTAAAAGATAATTCCTCACACCTACACATTTGTAGATGTGCACATAGCTATCTTACATAACTGTTTCTATACACTGTCATCAGGGTTGGGCAAGTAAATTAATAAACCTGAGGTTTAGATTAAAGAAGGAAATTTATATAGCATTCCACATCTTTGTGACCTCATAGGAAATGAGTGGATGGGATTTAGATGAGGTAAGAGGGGAAACGGGATTATTCTTAATATCAATAACCAGAAAATTTGTACTGAAGAAAATGGATAGTCCGCACCGGGATTTGAATCCGGGACCTTCCGATTACGCATCGGGTGCTCTCCCAACCGAGCGCAGCGAAGTTAGAATCGCGAGTTATCGGGCCGAATTGGCGATCGCGAAACCGTCCGGAGCATCTGGTGGAATAATTATGAACTACTATCTTGCGGCATTTAGAATACGAGAGTGAGAGAGTTTGCTAAACGGCCACCAGAGGGAGAAAAGTCGCTTTTGCCATAGCGACATAATAGTATCGTCATTAGGCCGAAAATAGTATATTTCGTCACTAGGCCGAAAGAAACTTTTCTGGCGAATATGAGTTTGCAGCCCGAGCCGAAGGCGAGAGCTGCAATCATATGAGCTAGAAAAGTTTTTTTTGTTCGTATGACGAACAGTATTTTTTGTTATGACGACCGTAGGCAGAGATTCACGGACGCGGAGCGTCCGTGAAGCGCTGCCTCACGGCCGGAATGACAAAAAACTTTTCTGGCGAATATGATATAACTGGCATTGAATATAAAATAACTGAGTTGTGAAGTTAGGGAGGTTAATGACACTTTTCGACGTTTTTTTACAGTTTCTGACGGTTTATCGGCAAATTCCCGGTATTCAACAATGTCACGTCGAAAACTTCTATCTTCCACATATGCCCAACCCTGACTGTCATTTCACAGGTACAAATTGTTTTCTCACAAAACAGAACTATACGCGCTAGTCCTTCATATGTTTATCGACACTGTCCAGTAACAGCGATATATCCATGAATTGAACACTTGTAAATTACACTGAATGTTCAACACACTGTTAGAAAAAAGAATTGAAATTTCATGAATCGTCCACTAGTCATTTTTAAGGGAGTGACATTGAATGCAATTCAACGGGGAAAAATCATTAAATTTCTGATTTCACTGAAAATTAATGAAATTCCAAATTTTTGAAGAGTATTGAGATAAGAATTCTTCAACCTAGTTGAATTTCCAATGAAATCATGAACATTCAGTGTCGGAGTAGAAATATTCAATGAATTGAAAATTCACAAATATATTTCCCGGATGTTTCTTGATTTCTAGTAATTTTCAAGGAATAATTTAACTGAAATGTACAGATCTCATCAATTCCTCCGTTAAATTCGGAATTTTCAATGACGAAATGCCTTAAAATGTCAATAAAACTAAAATGTGATAAAAATTTCTAAAAAGTGTGCCGGAAATTTCAGCAAAAACTTTTCGGAAATTCGTAGATAGGCATGTGACAAATTGGCTTGTGCACTTCTGTTCTGTACAAAAACATTCTGTGTGAAGGAAATTATATTAATATAGAAAAAACACTGTGTCCGTGTTGAATAAATTGGATGTCGAATGAACTATGTGCTCTCATGTAAGGCGCCGCCGCCACACAGCGACCCTAGTCTAAATGGAAGACTCTCTTCGAAATTGAATATTTCCGAAACTATGAATAATAATGTAACCGAACAAGCAACATCAGCAAAAAGGATACTGTAGGTTTAATTACATATCGGTTTTACTATTATCCATTCATCAAAAGCGTTCAGATTTGAGTGATATTTGAGTAACCCTTCGTTACTCGCGTCCACGGCACCGGTGAACTTCTATTTTTTTTTAAACTCATTAAAAAATATGCAAAAATGTATATATCTCACTGATTTTATCTAAAAGCATATTCTGCCATTTCTGACCACGGCCAAAGCCCCTGATTAGAGAAAATTCAGTCCTAGTCTAACTTGAAAAAAAAGGTAGGCGGAAAAAATAGACCAGGAAAAAAGAGGCCACACACCCAAAACGTGTTAAAACTCACCCAACTTAAAAATTTCCCTTGGTCTCTTTTTTCCATGGTCTATTTTTTCCGGGATTCGTGGCTGCGGAGAGATCAGAAGAGTGGAAAGATCTCCGCGCGATTCCACTCTCCGAATGAATTGTGGCAACGGCGCGCTCAGATCAAAGGACACAGTTGGGTCCCGTCGCCAAAAACGGATACGCTACTACCATATTATACGCGAAATATCTTTATGCCATAGGTGCCCAGAATCACGCGATTCTAACCTCGCTTCGCTCGGTAGAATCGCGGATTCTGGGCCCTATGACATAAAATAGTATACGAAACTCGTGCGTAATGGTGTTTTTTGACTCGTGGGATTTTAAAACTCGACTTCGGCTCGTTTTACAACTTCCCACGAGCCAAAAAACCCATTACGCACTTATTGCGTAATATACTATTACTTTTTTTTTGCGGTGTTTATCCCATCCCAGCACATTTTAGATTTCATAAATGGTTCCATCTATCAGTCGAATCCCTATTGTCATTTTCTCAAAGTTTATAAACAATAATTGACTGAGAAAATAATTTTTTCATGAAGCCGTTGGGATTTTCGTCGATTCCTTTCTCTAAGCCCTCTAAATGGAAATTATAGAGGAAACTTGGTACCACTGCTACTAATTTCGAATGAGTGTAAGGAGTTGGCTGTTGTCTAACGCGCCGTTTACCTATGCTTGAAAACCCGTGACTACAATACCATCCAAATGGAGCCAAGTGGAGCTCTTGTTATGATCTTTAATTGTGTATTTCTCGACATCCTTGATATCCTTGTTTATTAACAAAGATGTTGCGATTTCGAGTCGATGACAAACCGTTCACTTTTCCTCAGGTTCTCTCATTATTCAGAAAAAATATGTTAACAAGAACGGGTGAATCACCACGAAAAAAAATAGCAGAATAATACTCGCTCAGGACGAGCGTTACTCTCTATGTAATGAATTGCAGGATTAAAGATAGGGCATTACAAAAATATATGAAATCTCCTCAAAAACAAAGATAAATTTTTGAAAAAAAAAACACGTCAAGAACGGGCCGAGCGTTCTGTTCACAAAAAGTGGTGAAATCACGAAAAATGCCAAGCACTGAATATATACAGGTTCTGAATACAACTAAGGAAAACCAACGAAAAAATGGAAATTATGAAAATAAAATAATAAAAACTATTTAATAAAAATTCCAAATCAACCAACTTAGCGTGATTTTTTAGGTGCTTCAACCACTTTTTGTAAACAGAACGCTCGGACCCGTTCTTGGCGAGTTTTTTTGTAAAAATTTACATTACGGCGCGGCGCCGTGATGCGAGTAACCACGTCGGGCAGTGCCACACGAGTGACGAAGGGTTAAGCGTCCGACGCGCTTAGTAACAACAGCGCCCCTTATGTGAGGGGTTAAATAGTCCTGCCTCCGTGTCAAATAACGCACACATCCTGTTGTATAGAAGTGAAATTTTATATTCGTTTTTTAATAAATTCCGATGAGTCATTCAGTTCATCAAGGTCAATTAATTATATGCGCGACTTTTGCGATAACTAATGGTCGCCGAGGAAACTTTTACGCGGAAATATTTTTTCTTGAAAGGGAGCATGTTTTCAGTGGAAATTTTCATGCGGTAATTTTGACCAAGACATTTTCAAGCGAGAGATCAAATTCGGGAACCGTTTAAATTCAAGTCCATGCCAATTCGTCTATACCACCACTTACCTTTATTATGCCAATTTGAATTGAATGAATTCTGAATACAATTTCATACAGATCTCACCGCATTAGGTGAATGGCATGATCAAATCGTTTCGCAAGACTTTCTAGCAGTAAATTATATTACCAGTGAGTAAAGTAATATACTGATGACGGATAGAATTTACAATCTGAACATTACTGATATTTTATTTTAGTTGTTGATGGAATTCATTTGGTTTTATTTTCCGCTTCTCGGCTTCCTTGAGCAACATGTTCACTCTTGACTGCGCCCAGCAATATCTCTATGGTGTTTCTTATGATTCACCAAATAACGTTTCTGTCTAAATCCAAGTCCGCAATCCGCACACTCCCATGGTTTTTCATCAGAATGAATCAATCGATGTCGCTTCAGTTCATATTTGATCCTAAAAGCCCTCCCGCAAACATCACACAAGTGGGGTTTCTCCCCCGTGTGCTTAGTGACATGCACCATCAGTGCCGGTCTCGTTCTGAAAACTTGGTCACAATAATTACACTTGAACGGAAAAACATCACTGTGTGTTCTATTATGCACAAATAATGATGCTTTCTGCTTAAACGTCTTCCCACAAACATTGCAAATGTACGGCCGTTCCCCAGTATGAATCCTCCGGTGATCCTCAACATTTCGTTTCGTCGCGAACATTCGATTGCAGATGTCACACGGAAAATTCTTTATCCTTGCGTGAGTCTCCTTCAAGTGTCTAGCCAATCCCTGATTCACTCGAAATTGCTTTCCACATAAGTGACAGGTGAAAGGACGCTCTCCAGTGTGAATTCTCATGTGCCAAGAAAATGTATATGGAGAAAAAAGATTTTTTCCACAATCGTTGCAGTGGTAATAGATTTTTCCGTCCACCTCCATCCGTGCTGCCTCGATGCACTCTTTATTGATGGTAGAACGTTTCTTGGTGGTGGTGGTGGTGGTGGTTGTGGTGGTGGACAGCTCTGGGTGGGTGTCGTACATATGAATGTTGAGGGATTTTTTTCGTTTCGACGAGAAATTGCAGTGCATGCACAAGTACGTTTGAGGTTTTCGAGGTGTTCGAGAGGCTTTCTGACATGTTTTTCTAGAGTTTGAGGAGAGTTTTGGGGTTCGCGGGGGTCCAGAGGAACTCGGGGGGTTATCGTCTTCCTCCGTCAGACATTCGTCCTCACTTATTGAGCGGGTTTGTGTCGTTGTAGTCACTGTTGTCAGGATTTTTGGTATGTTTTTGTTTCTCAGTACTCTTTGAATAGTGGAGCTTCTCTTCGTGGAAGATCTGTAAACAAATAGAGGAATTTCTGCACATTTCAGTGACTCAGATCGTTCGAGGCTTCATTTTTCTCTTTAGTGGGAACTGTTAATCTGTACGAATTTGGTAGTTTTTCTGATTATTATGTTCTCGATTATAGTTGAGAACATTTGCTACGACAGAGGTCTTTTGACGACGTTTTGCTTTGGATAACTCCAAAATTAATAGAATGAAACAATGGATTTTCGGGATAAATCCGCATTTTGATTTTGGATCTATTATTCGAATCATGTGTATGAGAGGCTTTCTGAGTTTTCATTTGGGCGAAAACACCCCCCCCCCCCCCCCCCCCCCCCCCCCCCCCCCCCCCCCCCCCCCCCCCCCCCCCCCCCCCCCCCCCCCCCCCCCCCCCCCCCCCCCCCCCCC